ATTATCATCATAATTCTGCTTACGAATCAGAAACGTTCTAATGGGCCTGATTTGGAGGCACTGGGATACATGTTTCACTCTTATTTGACTGAATTCCGGGCACCAAGATGTCACAGCCGACTCTACCCACGCCATGCATTTAATAAATGACAGAAGTACATGCTTTTGAAATGTCCACTGTTCCGATGCGTGCATTTCCAAGTGAGTGAGTGAGTGAGTTAAGTTTTATGCCGCTTTTAGCAATATTCCATCAATATCACGGCGGGGAGACCAGAAATGGGTTTCACACCTTGTGCGTATGTTGGAATCGAACCCGGGTCTTCGGCGTGACGAGCGAACGCATTAACCACTAGGCTACCTCACCACCCTCATTTTTAAGTGACTGCGCGAGTTTGATCCAACGCCTCTCTACTATCAAATGATGTGGGGTGGTGGGATAGCCTTGTGGATAAAGTGTCCGCTCATCACGTTGAAGACCAGGGTTCGACTCCCCACTTCTATGAAAGTGATTTCTGGTGTATTGCTGGATGTGAGTCCAGACGTGTACATATATGAAACGGTCTCATTTCAGATAGAAGATGTCTGACAATACCATTATTGCTGTTGTGATTGTTGTCGCTGTCGTCGTGTTCGCTGTCGTCATGATAGTGATGCTGTGCCAAAAGTCCAAGGCGGAAGCAGAAATCAAGTTGAACGCCAGAAGACGACAGCAAAGACGGAATTCCCGGATGATAGGTCGAGCCTTCTCCCACAAATACTTCAACCCCTTCGGTGAAGCCAAGTCGCCACCAGACAGTCACAACAACAGTCACAGTCACAACGATGGCGACAACAATGGCGACGACACTGTTTCTGACCATGTTGAGGTTGTGGATGAATCACCTGTATTTGTTGTTGATAATGTATTAGAATCTCGTGGTAGCCTGGGAAACGTGTCTGATCCCTCTGACAGGAGACATCCCAACAGCATCGCCCGAACCGACCCGTTCCCCCGGTCTCACAACACCGTCACTCACACCTTGCAGGTGCCCACTCTACCCGACTGCCCTCCACTGTCCACTTCCGGTCAGCTGGAAAGGTATGACTACGTTCCACATCCTCTTCCGCCCATCGATGCTGCCCCTAAACAACTGCAGTACACCAGTCCAAACGAAAGCAGGGGGAACGAGCAGGAATAAGGGCCGGAACGCTGTGGGAAGGGGCCGATATTCGGGAATTTTAATGTAATTGTTAACTGTTGACCAAAGGACGTGTAGGATTGTTTGAATAAAAGTATACGAACTGGGGCTTTGATGTTCTGCACCTTCATTAGTTTTATCAGGGATACTCTACAACAGGGATAGGTCACTCGCTTGCTTTCTTTACCATTTGTACTAATTAACGTGTGCCTCGTCATGCTCCAACGCACACAGTGACTTGGTTCGGCCCCAGCGTAACTTCGGCTGCGTTTAACAGTACTTCAGCCAGTGTATTGTATAGGTCGGAATTTTACAATGAATGAATGAATTAAGAGCAAGAATTTTATGTGAATGAATGAAAGAAATTAAGAAAAAGAACAAAAGAAAAACAACATATGTGAATGAATGAAAGAATAAATGATACACCGCGGCCACCCCTCCCCCAAACATGTTAAAGAACGCAAAACTTTCGGTAGAACACATATTAACATCAGCTGTCCTTTTTCCAAAAAAATTACTTTGAGACATTTTTTTACATTAACTAATTCAGATATCGTATTGCATGTGTGGAATGACATGGGCATTGAAAGAATGTTAACTGACACTGTCACAGACCCCCAAGAACAGAAAGTTTAGAACTATCACAAAGCCTTGCAAACACCTTTCCAGTTTTGTCAAATACTAAGATCAACAAGAAAGAAACAAGTTTTAGAACTATAACACTCAAGCATCACAAGCACCAATGGCGTATCAGAACAGATCGGCGATATGTCATATTTTTCACACACCTCAAATACACACTCACAATTTTTTAAAAATTATAAAACTATTACTATTACTTGCAAACACCTTTCACCTGATGGTATATTCCCCTCATAAAAATTAAAGGTGTATGTGAAAGATGTTTTTGAACACTAACTAGAAACACTCAAACAACGCCCTGTAGTATTTCAATGGCAGATCGGCGATATGTCATATTTTTCACACACCTCAAATACACACTAACAAATTTTTTTAAATTATAAAACTATCACTATTACTTGCAAACACCTTTCACCTGATGGTATATTCCCCTCATAAAAATTGAAGGTGTATGTGAAAGATGTTTTTGAACACTAACTAGAAACACTCAAACAACGCCCTGTAGTATTTCAATGGCAGATCGGCGATATGTCATATTTTTCACACACCTCAAATACACACTAACAATTTTTTTTTGTTCTAAAAATATCACTATTACTTGCAAACACCTTTTAACTAAAGGTATATTTCCCTTCTAAAAAATAAACGAATATGTGAAAGAAGTTTTTAGCGATATAATTTAGTCTTTCTTCGCTGTGTACTGAGAATTGAAGCCAGTGAGTTAACATGCCCACTTGAAACTTTACTACAAAACTACTGTACTTATACTGACACAAATAACAAGTATTTGACTTAAAATGAAGTGACAGAATAGGTAACTTATCTTCTACATGTAGGTTTTCAGTTGTCACAACACTCAGCGTATGTAATCAGCTGTTGAAAATAAACCGGGCTCAATCTTAAAAACTACGCTGCCGCCATATTGGCTACACTGGTCACGTGACGAGCCGAGGCATAGCTTAGGAGCTTTCCGAGGAGTGACCACTCCCCCTTATAGAGTCTCCCTGGTTTTATACATGTTAGAATATACGGAATGTGGTAATGGTTTGCAGCTAGTGTTTCACGGTCCTTCGTCAACGTGTTGCTCCTGGAAGCACGAGTACTGTCAGAAGGCCTGTGAGTGGGCTGGATGAACGTTGGGTCAATGGTCATTATTAGAGCGCATCTAAGATTCGAACCTAAGATCAGTGTATCCTTGTATGGCTAAGGGACACAACCCTTCACAACTAATTGTCACTACCCGGGGTCTACCCTCTACTGGTATATGAGGCGGTAAACTGTCCAAACAGGTATTCTGCTGAGATGTACTTTTGTTTTGCTTATGTAGAATGTCAGGATCAAAGGACAGCTCATACGTTAGTCATCGTATCCCAATTGCGGAGATCGATGCTCACGCTGTTGATTACTGGATTGTCTCTTCCAGACTCGATTATTTACAGGCCGCTGCCATATAGCTGGAATATTGCTGAGTGCGTCGTAAAACCTAATTCATCCACTCACTCATTCATACGTTAGGTTTGTTATGAGTGCTCCAGTCAGCAATGATACAGCCAGGCAAGTCGGTGCTGATTATAAGCAACATGTCAGAGTGTGATGACAGCAGTCGAAACTGGCACCGAGCCCGGCCACCTGCTTCAAACCTTTGTCGCTTCCAACTTACCGGTGAAGGTCCGGGTTAGAATACTGATCTTCAGTAACCCATGCTTGTCGTAAGAGGCGACTAACGGGATCGGGTGGTCAGGCTCGCTGACTTGGTTGACACATGTCATCGGTTCCCAATTACGGAGATCGATGCTCATGCTGTTGCTCACTGGATTGTCTGGTCCAGGCTTGGTTATTTACAGACTGCCGCCATATAGCTGGAATATTGCTGAGCACGGTGTAAAACTAAACTCACTCACTCACTCTCTCACTAACTTCTAACCTCTGTCGCTCGTCATCATCACTCGGCAAATCGCTCATCGTCAAGTCACGAATGAAACGAGTACGAATGAAGATCGCAAAACCTCGTCTGAGGCGTGCAGACAGAAGATAAATGGGAGAACAAAGGGATAGGGAGGGTCAAGATAACAGTACAAAAGGTTGTGGGGAGGGTCAGAATGGCAACAAAGACGAGGGAGGATTGCGGCAGGAACACTCAAGAGGGATGGGTAGGGTCGGGACAACAACACACAAGAGGGAGGGAGGGTCGGGAAAGCAACACTCAAGAGGGAGGGGAAGGGAGGGTCGGGAAAGCACCACTGAAGAGGTTGGGGGAGGAGAGGGAGTCTCGGGACAGCAACACACAAGAGGGAGGGGAGGGTCGGGACAGCAACACACAAGAGAGAGGGGAGTGGAGGGACAGCAACAATCAAGGAGAGATGGGGGTCGGGACAGCAACACACACAAGAGGGAGGGGGTCGGGACAGCAACACTCAAGGGAGAGGGGGTCGGGACAGCAACACTCAAGAGGGATGGGGGAGGGAGGGACAGCAACACTCAAGAGAGAGGGGGAGAGGGAGGGTCGGTACAGCAACACACAAGAGGGAGGGGGAGGTCGGGACAGCAACACACAAGAGGGAGGGAGGGGGAGGGTCGGGACAGCAACACTCAAGGGAGAGAGGGGGAGGGACAGCAACACACAGAGAGGGGAGGGTCAGGACAGCAACACACAAGAGAGGGGGAGGGTCAGGACAGCAACACACAAGAGAGAGGGGGAGGTCGGGACAGCAACACTCAAGAGGAATCGGTAGGGGGGGAGGGAGGGAGAGCAACACACAAGAGGGGGGGAGAGGGTCGGGACAGCAATACACAAGAGAGAGGGGAGGGGTCAGGACAGCAATACACAAGAGAGAGGGGGAGGGTCGGGACAGCAACACTCAAGAGGGAGGGAGGGTCGGGACAGCAATACACAAGAGAGATGGGGAGGGTCGGGACAGCAACACTCAAGAGGAATCGGGAGGAGGGAGGGAGGGAGGAGAGCAACACACAAGAGGGAGGGAGGGTCGGGACAGCAACACACAAGAGAGAGGGAGGGTCGAGACAGCAACACTCAAGAGGAATCGGGAGGGAGGGGAGGGAGATACAGCAACACAACACAACAAGAGGCAGGGGAGGACAGCAATACACAAGAGAGGGGGAGGGTCGGGACAGCAACACTCAAGAGGAATCGGGAGGGAGGGACAGCAACACCCAAGAGAGATGGGGAGGGTCAGGACAGCAACACTCAAGAGGAATCAGGAGGGAGGGAGGGACAGCAAACACCAAGAGAGAGGGGAGGGTCGGGACAGCAACACTCAAGAGGAATCGGGAGGGAGGGAGGGAGGGACAGCAACACTCAAGAGAGAACACTCAAAGGGGGAGGATCGGGACAGCAATACACAAGAGAGAGGGGGAGGGTCAGGACAGCAATACACAAGAGAGAGGGGAGGGAGGGTCGGGACAGCAACACACAAAGAGGGAGGGGAGGGTCAGGACAGCAATACACAAGAGAGAGGGGGAGGGTCGGGACAGCAACACTCAAGAGGGAGGGGAGGGTCGGGACAGCAATACACAAGAGATGGGGAGGGTCGGGACAGCAACACTCAAGAGGAATCCAGGAGGGAGGGTCGGGACAGCAGGGACAGGGACAGCAACACCCAAGAGGAATCGGGAGGGGAGGGAGGGACAGCAACACTCAAGAGGGAGGGGGAGGGTCGGGACAGCAACACCCAAGAGAGGGGGAGGGTCGGGACAGCAACACTCAAGAGGAATCGGGAGGGAGGGAGGGGGAGGGACAGCAACACTCAAGAGGAATCGGGAGGGAGGGGAGGGACAGCAACACCCAAGAGAGAGGCGGAGGGTCGGGACAGCAACACCCAAGAGGAATCGGGAGGGGAGGGAGGGACAGCAACACTCAAGAGGGAGGGGGAGGGTCGGGACAGCAACACCCAAGAGAGAGGGGAGGGTCGGGACAGCAACACTCAAGAGGAATCGGAGGGGAGGGAGGACAGCAACACTCAAGAGAGAGGGGGAGAGGGAGGAGTCGGGACAGCAACACACAAGAGAGAGGGGGAGAGGGACAGCAACAATCAAGGGAGAGGGGGTCGGGACAGCAACACTCAAGAGAGGGGGAGAGGGAGGGTCGGGACAGCAACACTCAAGAGAGAGGGGGAGGGTCGGGACAGCAGCACACAAGAGAGAGCGGGGGGAGGGAAGCAACACACAAGAGAGAGGGGGAGGGTCGGGACAGCAACACTCCAGAGTGAGGGGAGGGTCGGGACAGCAACACACAAGAGAGAGGGGAGGGTCGGGACAGCAGCACACAAGATTGAAACTAATAATTATTACCTTAGATACTTGTGCAAGTTTAGATACCAGACTGCCATGCACGTAATTCTCTTCCCTTGCTTAATTAAACAAGGACCGGGTCGTCTGTGACTTTTATTTCACCAGAACGAGTATACTCAATATTTTTACCCAACCCATACGACATACTGCCAATCTACCGTTGTTTCTACAAGTGTCCTCCAGGTCAATAACAAGAACGCGTATAAAGCTTTCTATGTCTGGAAAGACGTGAGAGCTGTGCGCTACCGTCCGGGGCACCATGCTGTCCCTAGTGTCATCTGACACTACACCCAATTGATATGGAGATATATGCTGAGTATGCGGAAGTGAGATCCGGAGATGTATGAGGACACTCGGTTTACGAATCCGTCTACTCAAGTATTTTATTCCACCGACCAGACATTTGTATAATGTTGCTAAAACCAACTGATTTTATGTCGATATCAATCATTTAAAATGCAAAATGTTAATTAGATACATAATGACAAATCGAAAAAGGAGCTAAAATACTATTAGAAATGACGTGATGTCTTTTATTGTCTAAAATCTTATTTGCAACTCCGCCTTGTTCCGACATTTCTCTGGGATATAAATGTTCTGGACTCTATCTGGTACTGACAAGATTAGCGACAACCCCCGTCCAGAACCGCTGCTTGAAGTGTGAGGCTTAACTCTGCTTTATTAGCACACTGACGGCTGGATTTGTGTTGATGGATTATATCTATGAGCAAGGAGGAGGCAATATATATAAAACGGGCTTAATTTCCATGAATGTATATTTAGGTGAGTATCTGGTTCTCTGGGACATCTTTACACTCACTGCAGTGTTAAGACAGATCCGAGTCACATACCTTCTTTATTGCACTTACAAACTGGGGAAAACACCAGGTTGCTACAAGAAAAACATTTCCGCACTAAACATTGAGAAGTGTGTGATGGTACGCACAACAGAGATATATAACATTCGAACCAATCACTAGAAGTAAATCCATACACAAAGGGAAGCTATCAGCATTACATACTGTCATAGCTTGTGTGTTTTCAATTACACAATGGGTGGTATATATTTTAGCTTATTAACTAGAGACTTCATTACTCCTACACAATTTATTCAGTTCAATATTAATTATACAAAAGCTATTTAGTTTTTCAGCTTGTAATCTTGTGGTCTTTCCTGCAGCTCACAAGAAGTCATAAAGGTTTATTTTATCTTACAATGAGGATATATACAACATATATAAATCAAAGTTGACACATGCAGGAGTTATGAGCCAAGTAGCAATTAATTAATGTGAATTGTCTCAGGCTGCTTTGATAATGCTTTCGTCCTGGGTAAAAATGGAACTAGGTGAGTTTAGATATTATGAAACGTCAACTCCGTAGGTAAGGAACAGTCGTCCGAAACTGATTCTATTAAGTTTGGAAATCAAAATGGCGGTGACTAGTATGTGACATGATCAGTGAAACCAACAATATCACACGGTGCTTGCGAAATACCTTATGACATTAATGGTGTTAAAAATGTACAAATGGATTCACAGTTCTTCAATCGGGCTCAAACCTTTCCGATCTGTCGACAAAGATGAGATCGATGAGACGGTATTTTCACATTTTGCGTCCTCCTGATCAGTTTCATCCTTACTGGGAACTATATCGCCCGTTTCACTGCTTGCCACTGATGGCGGAATATAACCAATTGTAGGAACTATTTCTTCTCCGACTTCCGCTTCCGGTGGACTTTCTGCCTCGATTGGGATGACTGTGCTGCGGTTCTTCCGCTCTTCTCGCTTCCGCTTGGTACAAAACCTACAGTATAAGATGCTGACTGCCACCGCTATCAGGAACACTCCCAGGATGCAACACCCCACCACGATGTCAGTTGTAGTCCTCCCGGCGCTGTATCTGTTACTCGCCACAACACCATCTGTATCAACAGCAACATATTTTACTAAGACACATGGCAACACCATCAACACCAAAAGCATTATATTTCACTTAGATTTACGGTAACACCACCTGCATAAATATATCATATTTCACCATAGACATCCAAGAACAGAATGACTGGCATTGTAAGAAGTGATTCAGTTGGAGTCATAGGTACCGACATATTTCAGAAGTATGGAAGGTAGTATTGTATATATTCCTGAACTTCAGAACAGCCAGACCTACCTGTACAACACAGCGTCAGCACAATCCCAAGTACCCTGAAACACAGACAAAATGTGTACTCCCACAGGCACTGGTGACTGTATGCGTTAGGTCATGGTGACATCGTGGCATGATACAGGCAGCAGTGACTTATTGCTATGATTATTAAGGTATAAAGGGCAGTGGGATATGATTACGACAGTGGTGACATGGTGACATGATACAGACAGCAGTGACTTATTGCTATGATTATTAAGGTATAGATGGAAGAGGGATATGATTACGACAGTGATGACATAGTGACATGATGCAGACAGCAGTGACTTATTGCTAAGATTATTAAGGTATAGATGGCAGTGGGATATGATTACGACAGTGATGACATAGTGACATGCTACAGGCAGCAGTGACTTATTGCTATGATTATTAAGGTATAGATGGCAGAGGGATATGATTATGACAGTGATGACATAGTGACATGATACAGGCAGCAGTGACTTATTGCTATGATTATTAAGGTATAGATGGCAGAGGGATATGATTATGACAGTGATGACATAGTGACATGATACAGGCAGCAGTGGCTTATTGCTATGATTATTAAGGTATGGATGACAGCAGGATATGATTACGACAGTGGTGACATAGTGACATGATACAGGCAGCAGTGACGTATTGCTATGACTATTAAGGTATAGATGGCAGCGGAATATGATTACGACAGTGATGACATAGTGACATGATACAGGCAGCAGTGACTTATTGCTATGATTATTAAGGTATAGATGGCAGAGGGATATGATTATGACAGTGATGACATAGTGATATGATATCGGTGGGAATCACGTAGATATGTTATATGGGTGGCGATGACATAGTGATTTGATAAAGAAGACTATGACAGTGATATAATATAGTAGGCAACAGCTTGGTGATATGAGAAAGGAAGGGATTACATAACGACATCATCTTAAGTAGCCGTGAAATGACATAGCATTGGTATAGTGATATGATATGTACCGATGACGTCTTGACATGATGTAGGTGGAGATGACGTGGTGATAAGATGTAGGTAGTAAGTGAGTGTTTACATTTGTTTTAACGCCGCTTTGATCAGTATTCTATGTATATTAGCTAGGAAGGGGGTGAGTGGGTTTGGTTTACGCCGCTTTTAGCAATATTGCAGCAATATCATGGCGAGGGACACCAGAAATGGGCTTCACACATTGTACCCATGTGGGGAATCAAACCTGGGTCTTTAGCGTGACGAGCGAACGCTTTAACCACTCGGCTACCTTACCGCCCCACACGTGGTAGGAAGGTAGCCAGGGCACAGTTATATTATATAAGTAATGAATGTATAAAATGTCAAATAAGGAGGAATGTTAAATTTTTCGGATGGTATAACCCTATTGTTTATCCATGGAGTCAAATAGAGATAATACATAGAAAATGAGAATGGTAACTGCCGTAGCATTTGGCCTCGTACTTATATATAGAGATTGACATGTGGTTTAGCGCTGGAATGATATAGCATTATATACTCATGGAAACGAATACGGGAACACATGGAAGTACAAATATTCCTTTATTCTTTTCCAGAAGTTCACTCACAGTGCAATACATACCTTGTGAAGAAACCTGGAAAAGAATAAAGGAACACTTGTACTTTCATGTGTTCCCTTATTCGTTTCCATGAGTATATATCATATAGTGTTGTAAATATGTATACACATGGTTAATGGTAGACGGCTAAATGCTGGAACCTGAGTGGTAAATAACAAAGTGATACAGTGCGAGGTCATACAGTGACATGGTATTGGTTAAAACTGACAAAATGTCTTCAGGTAATATAGGAATACGGTACTACCTGTTCGTAGTAAAGAATGCCATGGTAAACAACGGTCTAGGAATGTTATCCACTACAGTTGCCCTCTACTATAGTCTTCCGTCAAACACAAACACACAAGGCAGCGTTTTGCCAGGGTAAGTAAGAGATTTACAAGCGCTAACAGATTTAATATAAGCGTTAATCCCTAAGCCCGTTGATATGCGTGCCTCGTTCCATACATAGAGTTCACGAAGTATGTTATGTTACTCAATGACATATAATGACAGTAATCATATACATTCCAGGCTCAACAGGCTAATCCTACTTGTGTGAGTGAGTGAGTGAGTTTTACGCCACTTTTAGCAATATTCCAGCAACACGGCAGAGGACACCAGAAATGGGCTTCACACGGCAGGGGACACCAGAAATGGGCTTCACTCATAGTACCCAAGTGGGGACTGACCAAACACTTTAACCAGTAGGTTACCCCCACCGCCTCTTACCTCCGTGTGTGTTTGTGCGTGTTTATTTAGAAGAGAGAGAGAGTGTGTGTGTGAGAGAGACGGGGTGGAGAGAGAGGGGGGGAGATGAGGGAGGGAGAGAGCGAATCAAATCGAAGCCCCCGATCTGATTTAGTCGCCTCTAACGAGGTAGCTAGGAACCATTCTTGACCATTCTTAACACCTCCCAGAGACAATGGGCTGATGGGGATAGGAACGAGTGGTATGAGTGGAATTATACCCCTCCAGGGCATCAGTCACGTGTGAGGGCCACAGGCAGCCATCTGATATACATCCGATGTGGTAATGGGGCCACCCAATCCACACATACAGGCTTTGAGTCCTCTCAGAGGTCAATCCCTGGGGGAGTGAGTTTGACTTTACGCCACTTATAGATATATTCCAGCAATGTTATCCTGCGAGACACCAGACATAGATGTTTCGCATTGAACCAGTGATGGGGATTGAACCTATTTCGATACATTGAGCTGGAGATAGAGGTAGTCGCAGGATGCTGATACAACGCGATCAAACCTTCAGGTAACATTTGTCTTCGATGTTACATATACTGACAGGACATTTCTTGCAGACCAAACACCAAGCATCAGTATATATTTGTTTGTGATGAAAACAAGACTGTTCCAAGGATCAATGCAAAAATCAAATGACATCCAGCAAATGCATCAAATCCCTGATTATCAAATGAACCATATTATCTTCAATACAACCATGGGCGAGGCGTTTTATATATTTACAAACTATACAGAAAAAGGGAAAGAATCACCTGTGCATTCTCAAACATCAAAGAAGTTGCGTTACAACTGTCAAAACGCTTGGCACCTCCACTTCTTGATCTAAGAGGTATTGCCACAAAACGCCATGCCCATGTATAAATTTACATTTTAATCTTCAAAGGTTCAGGACAATGTGTCAGAAATGATAGCAAATGTCCTTTGAAGTTTGCAGAGAAAACATTTCATGTATAAAAACAATGAGAATAGGACAAGATGTACACCTCCGATGGGCACCAGCAGTTCCCATCCTTGTCAGTCTGTATCTTTATCCTCCATTTCCCCGACGACGAGCCAAGTCAAAACACAGGAAGAGAAAATAAAGCTTCAGATATATTCATAATATATTACATTGCGGAAACACAGTTTCATTTTCATTCATATATGAGTATGAAATTTGGACCAGATATTCTTAATTTTAACATTTTTCCTGATATTAAAATGAGATGAACCTTTATGCTCGAGTTTAATGTTCTGTTTGAGTGTACAGCTAGATAACTTTTTGTTCTTATCTTGATATGATATGCATACGATGTACCCTCAGAAGTTGGTGTTATAACGTCAGTTTCAGACACATCTATCAAATTTTATGACAGACTTTTTAAGAACTGACTGATAAATGTTTTATTTTCTGAATTTTGATTCGCCGACAAAGTGGAGTTGGTTCATCCAGTCGGTTCAGCTTGTCAAGATTGTCGGGATGGTTGAGTTGTCAGTACTGTAACATTGCATCATTGAGTTATAGGAGTTGTCAATACTTAAGTGTGGTAGAAGTCGTTAGTACTGTAGTGCTGACTCATTGTGTGTTAGAAGTCGTTAGTACTGTAGTGCTGAATCATTGTGTGGTAGAAGTCGTTAGTACTGTAGTGCTGAATCATTGAGTGGTAGAAGTCGTTAGTACTGTAGTGCTGAATCATTGTGTCG